TTATTATTGTGTTAAAACTTTATAAAAAGAAAATTAGCTGATTAATTAAATGATACACATTCTTATTTTAAAGCTTTCAGACGGATATGGATTATGTTGTACAGTGAAATTTTATGAGATGAAAACTTTATGTTTTATTATTAAACTTATGTTCAATAAATAAGTCTAAATATGTTCGATTTGCTCAGATAGTGATTTCTATTTTATTTTTTACTAACAGAGAAAGGGTAAAGTGGTTAAAAATATCTTAAATTGGTTGTCTAAGAACTGAACCATATAAGACCTATGGAATATCAATGAATGAGGACACACTATTCAAAACTCTGGACTTACTACCATGTCGAGGGGGATCAAGAAATTTTAATAATATTGAGTTGATACCAATGTACGAAAAACAAGGTGAATCGCAACAATCGCTGAAATACAACGATTTAATGAATTTATTACATTATGCACTATTACGACACGCCATAATTATTTGAAATCCCTCTCGTATGCGAAGCCAATCAAGAATTAATTATAAAATAACATTTCGTTAACAATGAGTGAAAGTTGGATATTTTTTAATTGTATAATATAAAATTATATATTTCTTTTCATTTCAAGAGAAAGTTATTTTTTCTATGGACTTATGACTTATCAAGAATTAGAAAAGGTTTTGCATTAACACGTTGACTGCCGCGCGTGTTTCCAATGAAATATCCTTCAGACCACGAGTGCCGCTGCACCAAGCGTACTCGCAACGATTTCCCATTTCGTTTGTTTGCATGATACCATGTTTGGTCATTTGTTTTCATTATTAAATTCCTGAGGTCTTCACTTATTACCTCGCCACTCCACATGATCAGTTTGGAGAAACGTTGCTGTCATCCGAATATGGTGTCATCCGTTGACGAGGTAGTCAACGTGTTAATTTTGAAAGTGGCTTAAGCCCAAGTTAAAACGCAAACCCTTAAATATTTCGATTTTACTTACTTCCCGAGCAGCACTCATTATTGCAACAATATATCTTCAACATTGTCACATTGTAATTGCCGTACAATGTTGCTGCAACATTCCAACAATAGTTCATTATACTGGAATCCTACGTTGCAGTGTAACATTATAGTAACGTTACAGTAACGTCCCGCACGATTTTTATGTAATTGTTATATCGATATTATTGGAAAAATATAATATAATTAGTCATAAAGAAGATCATAATCGTAATCACAATTATGAC